AAAAAACTTGTGGAGCTATATGGTATTTCCTATGTGGATGTAACATAATTTATTTAACCAGTCTTCTGTTGAGGAGCATCTGGGTTGTTTCTAATTTATATATATATTTATTTATTTTGATAGAGACAGTGTCTTACTATGTTACCCAGGATGGTCTTGAACTCCTGGGCTCAAGCAATCCTCCCACCTCTGCCTCCCAAAGTGCTGGGAATATAGGCGTGAGCCCCCTTGGCTAGCCTGTTTTTTTTTTTTTTTTTTTTTTCCTCCAAGATAGGGTCTCACTATGTTGCTCAGGCTGGCCTTGAACTTCTGGGCTTAAGTAATCCTCCCACCTTGGCCTCCCAAAGTGCTGGGATTACAGGCATGAGCCACTGCGCCTGGCTCCAAGATAGGGTCTCACTATGTTGCTCAGGCTGGCCTTGAACTTCTGGGCTTAAGTAATCCTCCCACCTTGGCCTCCCAAAGCGCTGGGATTACAGGCATGAGCCACTGTTTTTTCCTCCAAGATAGGGTCTCACTATGTTGCTCAGGCTGGCCTTGAACTTCTGGGCTTAAGTAATCCTCCTACCTCAGCCTCCTGAGTAGTTGGAACTACAGACACACACCACTGTGCCCAGCTATCCAGTGTTTTGATGTTACAAATGATGCTGCAGTGAATAATCTTGTAGACATCTCATTTTGCCCCTGTGAAGTGTATCTGTTGGATAAATTGCTAGAAGTTAAATGGCTGGGTTAAATAATATATGTATTTTAAAATTTCATAAATATTGCTCAAGAATTATGATTATTACATAAAATAGGGGTTTTGAAGCTGTTTGTTTGTTTGCTTATTTATTTATTTATTTTGCGATGGAGTCTCAATCCATTGCCCAGGCTGGAGTGCAGTGGCATAATCTCAAGTCACTGCAACCTCTGCCTTCTAGGCTCAAGCAATTCTCCCTCCTCAGCCTCCCAAGTAGCTGGGATTACAGGCACGCACCACCACGCCCAGCTAATTTTTTTTTTTTTGTATTTTTGGTAGAGACAGGATTTTACTATGTTGGCCAGGTTGATCTCGAACTCCTGAGCTCAAGTGACCCACTCACCTTGGCCTCCCAAAGTGCTGGAATTACAGGCTTGAGCCACCAAGCCCAGCCAAAGCTGTTTATTAAAAATTACGAGAGTAACTATTTTCTCAGCTGGTTTGCTCTCTTTCAGGTACTTTATCTTTTATTTCTTCCAAAACAAATAAGCACATTCACAAGTTACACATTTATGGTCAAGAGTCAGAGAAAGGTCTAGGTTGCTTTCTGTGGCAATTTGAAGAAAAATGTGAAGATGTGTACCAGTAAACTTCTTCTAAAATAGTTGATGGGAACCCATTGATAATCATAACTGAAAGCGATACACCAATATGTATATCAGTAAAACTTTGTTGGCCATCCTTTACTAACAAAGGAATTCTTTTTCTTTCTTTCTTTCTTTCTTTTTTTTTATTTGGAGAGATGGAGTTTCACTCTTGTTGCCCAGGCTGGAGGGCAGTGGTGCAATCTCGGTTCACTGCAACCTCCGCCTCCTGGATTCAACCAATTCTCCTGCCTCAGCCTCCTCAGTAGCTGGCATTACAGATGCCCACCACCACGCCTGGCTAATTTTTTATATTTTTAGTAGAGATGGGTTTTCGCCATGTTGGCCAGGCTGGTCTCGAACTCCTGACCTCAGGTGGTCCACCTGCCTCGGCCTCCCAAAGTGCTGGGATTACAGGCATGAGCCACTGCGCCTGGCCCCTTTTTCTTTTTTTTTAAGTAAAAAAAAAAAAAAAAAAAATTTTTTTTTAGAGAGGAGGCCTCACTATTTTTCCCAGTTTGGTCTCGAACTACTGAGTTTAACCCATCCTCCCTTCTTGGCCTTCCAAAGTTACAGGATTACAGGCATGAGCCACCATGTCCAGCTCAGGAATTCTCTTATGCTTCACAAATATAGTGAGTTGTTATTCACAACATATTCACAAGTTGTTATTCACAACAATATTCACAAATGTTGTTCATTTTAAAAATGTGATTATGGCTGGGCATGGCGGCTCACGCCTGTAATTCAAGCACTGGGAGGTTATGGTGGGAGGATAGTTTGAGCTCTGGACTTTGAGACATGAGCCTGGGCAACATTTAAGACCTATTCTCTAAAAAAATAAAAACTAAAAGGTAAGATTAGCTGGGGTGTGGTGGCTTAGGCCTGCAGTTGTAGCTACTTGGGAGGCTGAGGTGGGAGGATTGCTTGAGCCTGGGAGGTCAAGGCTGCAGTGATCCATGATCACAACATTACGCTCCAGCTTGGGAGACCAAGTGAGGCCCTGTCTCAAAACAAAATTAAAATTAAAAAAATTTGTGATTGCCGGGCATGGTGGCTTATGACTGTAATCCCAGCGCTTTTGGACGCCGAGGCAGGTGGATTACCTGAGGTCAGGAGTTCAAGACCAGCTTGGCCAACATGGTGAAACCCCGTCTCTACTAAAAATAAGAAAATTAGTCAGGCGTGGTGGCGGGTGCCTGTAATCCCAGCTACTCGGGAGGCTGAGGCAGGAAAATCGCTTGAATCTGGGAGGTAGAGGTTGCAGTGAGCCGAGATCGTGCCACTGCGCTCCAGCCTGCAACCTGGGTGACAAGAGCGAGACTCCATCTCAAAAAAAAAAAAAAATTGTAATTATAGTTTTATTATTAAAATGTTTCTTTTGTGAGAGCTGTCATTTAAAGCTGTTTAGTGTTAAGAAGCCTCGTCAGCAACAGCTAGTTTCTACCTTAATAATTTCAATTCATTTAAAAATAATGTGAGGCAGGAGAATAGGGTCTGGAGGAAGGGAACCTAAGGCTGATTAAAGTTGACTTCCTAGAACTAAATCAAAAGGAAAACCCCAACTTGCCACACCTAAGTAACAAAAAGACTACTTCCTTTGCAAATCTTCTTCCTTTTCTGCTTGGCAGATGGAAAACTGAAAGTATCTCTGATTGGTTGCAGAACGCAGATGTTTGTAGAGGAGTGTAACTTTGTAACTTCACTTTAGCTTCTGATTGGTTGCTTTCCACAACCAATTAGATGCTTGCATAGGGTGTGACCCTTGTAACTTCACTTTAGCCTCCGAGTGCGGGCCACTACTTCATTTACATAGGGTGTACACCAAGTAACCAATGGGAAACCTCTAGAGGGTATTTAAATCCCGGAAAATTCTGTGATGGGGGTCTTGAGCCCCTGCGTTCTGGCAGCTCCTGCACTCTTGTGGAGTGTACTTTCATTTTCAATGTATCTCTGCTTTTGTTGCTTCATTCTTTCCTTGCTTTGTGCATTTTGTCCAATTCTTTGTTCAAAACGCCAAGAACCTGGTAACATGTTGACTATTTACTATTTTTCTCATAATGAAGTCAGTTGGACAGCAAGCATATTTCTGTGCTGCCTTGTGATGGAGTACATCATTCAAATTCACTGCATTTACCATGGAGAGAAAAAATGGCTCCTGTAAATTGTATGTTGAAGTGATATTTAATGTGTACAAGACAAAATCAGTATAGCAGGTACAGAGGTCTGGTTTCTACAATTGCCAATTGAACTCAATTTGAAAGATATAATTGCAATGTGTACAGGTGTCTGTTGATTAAAAAGTTGCCTGAGGCCAGGCGCAGTGGCTCACCCCTGTAATTCCAGCACTTTGGGAGGTCGAGGTTGGAGGATGGCTTGAGCGCAGGTGTTTGAGACCAGCCTGGGCAACAAAGAGACCTCATCTATACCAATACATAAATACATAATTAGCTGGGCTTGATGGCGCGAGCCTGCAGTCCCAGCTACTTGAGAGGCGAGGTGGGAGGATTGCTCGAGCCTAGGAGGTCCAGGCTGCAGTGAACTGCGTCACGCCACTGCACTCCAGCCTGGGTGACAGAGCTAGACCCTGTCTCAGGAAAAAAAAAAGTTGCCTGAGTCTATCAGATTTTCAAAGTGTTTCATTCATAAAAGGCTCACCTCTTGCTATCCCAGTAGAAAGCAGCAACCCTATCACCTAACCCCGACAGGAGCTCTTGCATATTTCAAGAAAAATAAATAGAATGAACTAAAGCACGCATGGCAGAATAAGTTTGGAAATAAATTTCAAAGCGATTAGATTTTAGAAAACTTGTTTGTGATTAGCAGAGATTACCAATGTAAAATCAAATTATAGATCATAAAAGCTGGAAAGGCATTTAGAGATCATCCAGCCAAGCTTCCTCTGTAATGAGGAGGAAGCAGATCTAAATTGATTGGTTTGTGAGCTAAACATTACATCAAATTGGGGAAATGGCTCGTGTGTGTGTGTGTATTCTAAGAGACACTTTATTCAATATGGAAAGAATTTTATGCGGCGTTCAAGTTGGTCTTATGTCATCTGCACACATATACATATATATATATATAAGTACCTTATACACATATACATTTGCGAGCATGTTGGTGTGCCAAATATTATGTATAAAACATCTAGGAAAGAAAAGAACTTGATGATAGCCTAGCATAGAGGAAAGAAAATACTCACATAGGATGACCATATAGATTAGTGGTTAAGAGTGTCTGGTGAATCTCGGCTCCACTACTATGGGACTTTGTGTCTCGGTTTCCTCATCTGGAAAATGTAGGTTTGTCTACCTCAGAGAGTGTAAAGATTAAATGAGATAACCTGGATAAAGGATTAGTGTAGTGCCAAGCATATAGTAAACTCTCAATAAATGTAAGTTGCTGTTATTGCTTCGTTAATATGTCTAAGAAAAAAGAGATTGGACCAAGAGAGCATTTTCAAAATAAAGTCAAAATATGTCACTAGCACTTTCAGGTCAATTGGGACTAAATTGGACCCCCTGCGAAAAGGTGGAGGGGATCAAATGACGTCGACCGCCTTAGCAACAGGCCCCCAAAGAAGGTGAATTTCCGTAGCCAATAAAACTCTGTGCTTTGGAGGAGGTAGCCAATGGATGACGAAAAGAGAAAGAGGGAGGACGCGCCAATTCTCCTGCCTGAGCCTCGGCCCAACAAAATGGCGGCGGCAGCGGTGTCGCTTTGTTTCCGTGGCTCCTGCGGCGGTGGCAGCGGTAGCGGCCTTTGAGCTGTGGGGAGGTTCCAGCAGCAGCTACAGTGACGACTAAGACTCCAGTGCATTTCTATCGTAACCGGGCGCGGGGGAGCGCAGATCGGCGCCCAGCAATCGCAGAAGCCGACAAGGCGTTCAAGCGAAAACATGACCGCTGAGCCCATGAGGTAAAACGCAATCCCGTCTCATGGGCCCCAGCGGTCTGGGCCCAGGCACCGCCTGAGTCGGGTGTTTGGGAAGGCGTTCGCTTGGTGGGTTAGGCCTGTGTGTTGCTTAGCCGAAAGAGGCATCGTTTTCTCTTTAGGTGAGAAGGGTTTGGGGTATCGGCGCAAGGCTCCGACGGGGGTGGGGGTGGGGGGATGGGGGTGGGGGGAGGGGGGGGGGGCGCGGCCTAGGGTATGGGGCGCTTCTTGCAATCTCCTCTAAACGGTGACGCTTGGTAGGGCTCCTCTGTTTATTCTTTGATGCCTGTGGTATTGAGACCTCGAAGTCGGAGGCGGTCTTTGGTATCCTGGTCATTTTTCCTAATCTTTGGGCCTAGAAACTGCGTGGGGAAGAAGCGGGGGGAGGGTAAGAAGAGGGGGAGGGGTGGGCGGGCGCGAGGATGTGAGATCCCAGGACGACTTAGAGGCGTTTCGGTTGCTGGAGACGGGAAGCACCCGGGCCCTGCGGGATTTTTTTCCTGCAGCCTCAGGAGACAAACCTTTTTTTGATTGGGATGTGGTGCCGTTCCAGGTATTTAGGTATCTTTTCTACTCCGTATCCTGAAGGGTATTATCCTTGGGTTTATTTCTAGGCGAGGGGAGACTTAACACAGGGTTTTGCTTCCAGAGGACCCTAGTATACTACTTTTTGTGAAGTCCAATCTTAATGGGACCTCAAATGTTTCCCCTCTTTTTGGGCAGATTTCGAGGAGTAATTAGGCCCTATCTTTATTTACTTATTTATTCCATGAAGGATGAAGGGCAGGTTAACGTGGGCTGATGCGAAGTAAGATTTATTGCAAGGGAAACTGCCTGGCAGGCCTCCTCTTAACCAATCAAGCACGTTTATTAGGTTGAAGCTGTTTTTCTGTGTGCTTCTGATTTGCCTCTTGACGGGTCTCAAAATTTGGATAGTCAATATGAAATGTATACACTTTTGCCCAGGTGGCTGGCTGGCGTTTCAGTTTGACATTTGAATTTTCATCCCACGATGTGAATTAAGTAATTTTTTTTTTTACTCGGAGATGTATCCTTGGCGTCCAGTGGCAAAATAAAATTACAAGGAGCATGGGTCAGAATTGCGTTTCAAGTTGGCGAAATGTGCCTTTGAGTAACTCTTAGATTGGCATATGTTTTTAGAGCACTTTAGCTAGAATGTAGAAGTGGGCAATGAGCCTGTGATACGTATGTCTGTTTTTCTGCAGGAACAAGCAGTAGATAGATTATATTTTCTTTACCTTGGGGAAAGATATGCTTCAGTTCTTAGATTACAGATCTCTAGTTGTATACACGATTGTGGCCTAGGTTTCTGAATTTGTCAGTTGGCTCAATTACAACAAATCTTTATGTGTGGGGTATTAGGCATGTAAGTGGTACCCAGTGTAACTTGTTGGCCTATAATTACCAGGCACTCATGTTCATATGCATGGATGGTGTACCTTACAGTTAAATTATGACCTCTGGATTTTACTAAGTTTCACAAAGTCTACATTTGAAACTATAGTTTGAAGTCGGATCTTCTCAGTTTCTTTACAATGAACAAATTACATATATAGAATTTCTGAATAGAATAATTTTACACGAGGGTCAGTTTTTCTTACTAGTCTTGAATTTTTGTAAATCTTGATGGTAAGAGTAATAATCATAACTAAGTTGAGTGCTTATTGTCGTTTTTTATAATCTTGATTAGTTCTCAAACCTATGGGGTAAGTACTTGGTTTTGCCCATTTTACCGATGAGGAGGAAACTGAGACAGAGAGAGATCAAGAACTTGACCAAAGTTATACAGCTTGTAATTGGTGGAGCTGGAATTGAACCCCATCTTGACTTCACAGCTTATGTTCTTAACCACAAGGCATTAATGCCCCCTGCAGCTGCCAGGTCTAACCTGATTATAACCATTTAAATTTAGCCCAAGTGTTACAATGAAAGAAGTTCATATTACCTACTCTCATTTGTTGCAGGTCTATGATTTTGTAACTGTTTATAATGTTACATCTTTTATGCCGAGATATACTACGTAGTGAGATAACTGAAACATTTAATGCTAGGAGAGTCTTAAGCTACATGAAAAACCTCTAGTAAAGAACTGCATATATGAATGTAGGGAATTAATTAAAAAGTATGACACTCCCTGATGATTTACTGCGAAAGAGCTCCAAGTAGGTGTTCAGAACTGTCTCAGGCTAAAGTGTCATCGATCTCCTAAAGCATAATCATGGTTAAAGGAGAATCTGACAGGTAATGCTTGAGTTGAACCCACAGTACCAAATCCCTCTTGAGTCTTTTCTAATGTGAGGCAGAAATAATATGAGCATTATTGTTAATATTATTTTACACAGTAGTTTCAGATTTTCTCTTTATCAAATCTTTTGTCAAGCACTTAAAAAGCAGGAACAAAGACTAGTTCTAATTTTTACTTGTGTTTATAAAAAAAAGTAATATTCTAGGATTCTGTGGTGGAAAAATGGCCAAAAGACAGGAGGAAGGAAAATAAACCAATGACCTGTCTAAAACGTACACTGACTAATCAGTGGCTCAGTCTTTAAAGGTTTTGTTATTTTTAAAGGATGTTTTTGGTTGTTTGTATTGTTTGAAATAAGATTGGCTTGATTCTGGCATTATAAAAGATAAGGTCTTTAATAATCACCAAGCCCATTAATACTTGGGTACCTGGGTATCACTGCTGATTATTTTTTAATTTTTTAATTTATTTTTTTGAGACAGAGTCTCACTTTGTTGCCTCGGCTATAGTGAAGTGGCATGATCTTGGTTTACTGCAGCCTCTGCCTCCCAGGTTCAAGTGATTCTCATGCCTCAGCCTCCCAAGTAACTGGGATTAACAGGTGTATGCCACCACGCCCAGCTAATTTTTGTATTTTTAGTAGAGAGGGAGTTTCACCATGTTGGCCAGACTGGTCTTGGACTCCTGGACTCAAGTGATCCACCTGTCTTGGCCTCCCAAAGTGCTGGGATTACAGGTGTGAGCCACCGCACCCAGCTCTCTGCTGGTTATTCAGGGCCCAAGGGCTCTTCAGTTATCAGGTGATGTATGCTGCTAGGACTGGGTCCCTCCCTTCAAGGCAGCAGATTCCCTTCTGGCCCAGGATGTGTCTAGAATTGTCATCCCGGAGCTAGGGCCTGGAATGGAGGCCTCATGATTGATGAACTTGAATTTATTTTCTTTCTTTCTTTTTTTTTTGAGATGGAGTCTCACTCTGTTGCCCAGGCTGGAGTGCAGTGGCACCATCTTGGCTCACTGCAACCTCTACCTCCTGGGTTCAAGTGATTCTCCTGCCTCAGCCTCCCAAATAGCTGGGATTACAGGCACATGCCACCACACCATGCCTGGCCAATTTTTGTATTTTTAGTAGAGACGGGATTTCACCATGTTGGCCAGGCTGGTCTCAAACTCCTGACCTCAGGTGATCTGCCCGCCTCCGCCTCCCAAAGTGCTGGGATTACAGGTGTGAACCACTGCGCTTGGCCTTAATTTATTTGCATATAAAGATTTCAGTATTAGGAGATTTGGTGAAATTTGTCATTCTAATCCTTATGGCAATTGATTACTTGAAAAGCTGACAGCTATATTGTTATTGGTCTTAAATATAAAAAGGCAGAAGTTATCTAAATTGAGAGATTTTGAATGTCTTAGAAAGTATCTGTTAAGGTGGTAGTTAACGAGCAGTTACATTGTAACCTAATTGTTGAAAAATGTTATCTGTGAAATACTTGCATTTCCACTATGTGAAAAGCATGAAAGCAGGCCCTTGGAGGGGGAGGAGATACAAATTTTATGAAGGGTTTTAAAAAAGCATTTAAATATCAATTGCTTGGTTATGTAATGGGTTGGGGTGGAAAGAAAGACATTTGTGACCTTAATTTTTATCAGGCTCGGTTTTATTATTGGCAACCCTTGGCGTAGTTGACCATGAGCTGTCAGTTATATATTGTATTTCTAGAGATAAGATAAATGTAGTACTTAAAATAATATTTCTTTTAAATATTGATGTAGGTGTGTGAAATAATTGTTTCATAAATAACTGTATGTGTCTTTTTCACTTTTGGGGTCCGAATAAACTTATGGGTTGGGTGATAGGATACAGGCAATTCTTGAATTTACGTGAAGTGCTTTCCCCCAGACAGCGAGTGTTTTTTTGGATATCATAAACTAAATAGTTGAAGCCAGTGAAAATTGATGCATAGATCTTCCTTTAGAAATGTTGAATATAACAGGGCAGTGAAAGGAATGTCTAAGCAGTCTCTCTAATTTTATCCTAATGCTTGTCTTATGATCTGCTTGGAAGCTGACATGCAAGATGTTTAACTTCTATCTATAAAATAGGAGTAAGCTCAAATGGGAGTAAAAGGGAGTAAATATCAATATTTATCAATAATGGATATTGATAAAGTCTAAAGGTATTCTGAAGGAGGTAACATGTTTGTAACAATGGTTCTTTTTTTTTTTTTGAGAGGGAGTTTTGCTGTGTTGCCCAGGCTGAAGTGCAGTGGCACGATCTCGGCTCATTGCAAGCTCTGCTTCCCAGGTTCATGCCATTCTCCTGCCTCAGCCTCCCAAGTAACTGGGACTACAGGCGCCCGCCACCATGCCCAGCTAATTTTTTGTATTTTTTAGTAGAGATGGAGTTTCACCGTGTTAACCAGGATGGTCTCGATCTCCTGACCTCGTGATCTTTGTGATCCGCCCACCTTGGCCTCCCAAAGTGCTGGGATTACAGGTGTGAGCCACAGTGCCCTGCTCAAATGCTATCTCTCTATAAAGCTTTCCTTGGTTCCCACCAGAAATGTCTTTCTACTTTGAACTCACACAGCAGCTTTTACTTTTTATGTCATGCAGCATTTATCACTTTATATCTTGTGCCAAAACTAATTGTGTACACGTCTTATTTCCTCTGATATATGGAAAATGAGACTAATCTTTAACCATACTAATGGGTCTGTCTGGACTCACCTCTCACAGCCAACCCTTAACTGCTAACTCATTCAAGACTCAATACAGATAACATCTCCTTTGCAAAACCTTCCTAAACATCCCCCAAATTAGGCTTTCTTTCATTTCTGATCCCTAGTGCAATCAGTA